ATTTGTTCTTGCAGACAAAACACCAACACACTTTAAAAAATGTTTTTAAAATGTCCAGTTTGATGTTGTCTGAAAATACACCATGCATTTGAATAGGCCCATTTAAATGATAAACAAGTTATAATTTACAAGAGGGTAGTGTGTGTGTGTGTGTGTGTGTGTGTGTGTGTGTGCATGTGCACATGTCTGTATATCTTTGTTCGGAGATAATCTCTCTGAATTGTGTTTGTAGCATATCTATATGTAAAGCTACTTTCTAGTAATAATGCATAGTCAACCAGTAGTCAATAAATAAATGAATTTATTTACCCTACTTCCATTCAGTAACAAAAGGCACTATGAGCTGTTATCACCATATTCACCATCATCACCACCATCATTGCCTTCATCATTCCTCTCCCCCTATTCCCGCCAGTGCATTGTCACACACAATATTTTGATTCGTGAACTTTCGCCTAAAAAATTCTGTCATGAATTATTCATATTTTATAGTCTTCATAAAACCCCCTTGTGTGGGCCAGGCAGTGGTGGCGCACACCTTTAATCCCAGCACTCGGGAGGCACAGGCAGATCTCTGTGAGTTCGAGGCCAACCTGGTCTATAGAGCAAGTTCCAGGACAAGCTCCAAAACTACAGAGAAACCTTGGCTCAAAAAAACAAACAAACAAAAACAAACAAAACAGCAAAAACTATGTATAATATTTAAAAATATTTACTGCTAAACTTAGCTGTTGATTTTTAAAATGTTATCCTTAATTCACTGTATCTTAGTCACATGTAACATCACAACTGGAGACGGTACCCAGATGCTTGCATTTAAAGCAATGACTACTCAGGAGATTGTGCACAACACTGGGGATCATGTAGCCCATTCTCAACTCAACTCCTGCCATTTTGCCAAGGCCAGCGCTGCACCAATGATTTTTAAGATGACGTAAGCGAACTTCATTCATCCCTTTGTTAAAGTAACCCATGTTCGCACAGTGTAATTGCTAGGGTCTATTTTTTAAAAGTTTCGTGTTTGTGTATGTATGTGCCTACATATATGTGTGTGACATGTATGGAGGTCAAAAGACAGCTGTGGAAGTTGGTTTCCTCCTTCCACTATGTGGATCCTGGGGGTCAAACTGAGGCTACCAGGTTTGGTGGAGAGTTTCTTTACCTGCAGAGCCGTCTGTCTCACCAGGCCCTGTGGATCTGTTGACAGAATAAAACATATATTTGCTATTGTTTGACTGAGTCTCCCAAAGTCAATGCGGTGGATACTCAAGCCTCGAAAATGCAGCAGTCCCAAGAGGTGGGACCTTTAAGGGCTGTTTGAGTCGGGATGACACTCTTATAATAGACTAAGCATTGAGGGAGTTGGCTGGTTGATTCGGAAGTGGTTTCTTTACGGAAGGATGAATCTTATCCACTCTTTGGTGCTCTGTCTTTGTTTTTCTGCCATGGGAGATGGCACGGATACAGCAGCGAAACCTTCACCTGATGTTGGCACCTTCATATTGAACTTCCAGAGCCAATCAGTGTCTTCTTTTCATTATAAATTATTAAACCCATGCTATTATAGTATTGTAACACAAAACAAACCATAGCATTATAATAATAATGCTATCATCATCATCATCATCATCACCATTATTTGCTATTATAGAAGTTTTTGTTTCCAGGGGAATAGAAGGGATGGGTTAATAAATGAATGATAATTCTAAGAAGTCAAACCTCCTCAGGAACTAAGTACTTTGTGTGTCTGAAAAGAAGCAGGAGGGAACAAAGCAGGCTCTATACTATGGTCCTATGTACCATGGTTTTGGGGACCTGCCTGTTTTCCTGACTTAATTAGAAGACCGACCCTGGTCATACAACACCCTTGTCTATGAAGCAAGTTGTGGCAGATTCCTGTTTAGGGCTGTATAACCTGGACTTTTTAGTGTCGATGTCAGTAAAAATTTGTCAGATGTCCAGAACTCATCAGTACAACAGGGCCCTGGGGTGGTGGTTCTAATTTTCTTATGCAAGTTATGGAAATTAGAATTGCTCTTTTGGATCCATACTCTGTGTTCTGAGACTGCCGTTAGATGGGGCCTCATCGGGCTGACTTTATGTTTCCTTCTCAGAGGAAAACCGAGGAACTAATAAGGAACCATGCCGGGCGACACAGCAGTGGCAGAACTTTGCTTTATCGGTGACTTCTATCTTCTCACTCCTTTCCTTTATGTTGGTTGTTTGTTCGTTTATTTAACAGAGCATACTGGCCATCTCTTTAAATTTATTCAAATCATTCAAAAGCCCAGAGAGAGTGCTGCTGTTACTGATACATAACATACTGGTCTTGTAATAGTATATTCATATTTGTACATATATATAATTTGAATTTTTTTTTTAAAAACTTTGGCTGCTTGTCAATTTCTAGAAAAAAACCAACTTTATCATCTGGAGTCAAACGCATGCAAAAATTAACAGCCATAGTGGTCTGAAGATGTGACTTCTTTTCCCTATTTGTTCACTTGTGAGCACTGTATTAAATATCCAAGGTCTTAGTTACATGGGTTTGATGACAGAAACTAACACTCTCTAAAGAAAACAAAATGATGCAGCCAGTATCTTGCATGGTGTGGATGAGACCAGTGCTGGACAGCAATGCACAAGGCACAGGCATCAAGCTGGATGCTTTAAAATAAACACTGAACATTTTGCAACACGAAATATTAGTATCACTGATCCTGGGCAACCATCTTTATCACCAGTGTGCTCATTCATCTCGCGACTGCTGACCTAAGTAGCCTTAGGTATTTAAAAGTGCACATAAGGGCTGGCGAGATGGCCCAGTGGTTAAGAGCACTTGCTGTTCTTGGAGAGGAGCTGGGTTTGGTTCTCAACACATACATGAAACTCACAACTGTCTGTAACTCCAATCCCAGGGGTTCAGACACCTGCTGGCTTCTATGGGCGCTGGGCATGCATGTGCTGCACAGATATATATGTGGGCCAAACATCTGTACATATAAAATAAAAATAAATAAAACTTTAAAAGTATAAACTAGGGCAGTGTTTTACTACAACTAAAATTTCAGAGCCACTGAAGTCTTCAGATGAAGAGAAAACAGTGTGTGTGGTGATATAAGAAGATGTGAGGCCATAGAACCCTGCGTCTTGGAAGTGACCTAGATAATTTCAAGTCCAAATTCCCAAGCATACATATCAGAATGCAGAGCAAATCCTGTGTTCACCTAGGAAATGTACCACATCTAGCAGCTGCTGCTACACTAACTCGTTAGTTCAGATACAAATGAATTTGGCTCTTTGGACGTGCTCTCCGGAGTCTCAGTCCTGGATCCTTGCTCCTGCCCCTGACGTTTTCTCTTCTGTGCTATCTTTGAAAAGCTCAGGTATTTATCAGTATAGTGCACAGTTACCTGACAATCGCTAATCCGAATTTTCCTTCCTGGGCTAAAAGTGAGTCTTGTTCAGAGTGCATTGCAGTCCTTGGTAGAAGGGTTTTCAAACAAAAATAGAAAGAAGAAAAGCCATAGCATCCTGGATCTGGAGGAACAAGGACAGCTAGAACTGTGACCCTGAGCCACGCCCCTCCTCTGCCGGGTGCTGTCCCACCAATGAGATGGTTCTTGGGAAGGGTCTTTTAGCTGGATGTCACCTTTGCACTACTTCTTTCTTTGACCCTCAAATCCGGAATTGTCTACAAATTCAGATAGTACCACGACTTCATGGCGGACTGAGCACATGCAAGCCCAACTGTTTAGGGACTGTTTTCTGGGCCAGCTGGGCGGCCGAGGGCTTAAAGACAACTGTTGCCAAGGCTGATTAGCTGAGTTTGATCCCTGGAAACCACACAGTGGGAGGAGTGACTGACGGGTTATGCACCACATGCACCACGGCGAATGCGCACACACACACACACACACACACACACACGGGGTGGTGGGGGGAGGGAGAGAGAGAGAGAGAGAGAGAGAGAGAGAGAGAGAGAGAGATTATTTTCTGTTGGTATAATAAAAATATCTGAGATGAGATCATGTATCAAGAATAGACTTTGGTTTCCTACAGTTCTGGGACCTTGCAAGTCCAAGGTCTAGGACCTGTGCCAGGCAGGACGCTGTCACTGGAAGGGACTCTATAAAGTCTCAAGCCGTGTTTCATACGGTAAGACACTGATGAAAACTGGCCAGTCTGGCTTTTTGTACAACCCCTTTCTCAGGATAGCTAATTCACGCTGTCATTGTCTCAGGACTCTCTCAGTCCATGAATGGGTTGTTCCATTCAGAAAGGCTGGGCTCTCATGATTCATTCGCCTCCCGGAGGCCTCACCTCCCATCATTAACACACGACAGAGGACGAAGTTTCCGACACATAAATTCCAGGGGCACACCCAAACCCAGAAGAACAGCTTGGCTCGAAAATAATTGCACAGTAGCACATCAAAAAAATGCAAACCATTATGTAATATGCAACATTGAGAGGGAATGCGCCCATCAGACTTGATAAGAACACACAGCAAGAGTGGAAACAATAGAAATATTTTCAATGCCATGTTTGTTAAGTACGTTGTGGTTATCCATATAAGAGAGCATGATGCAACCATAAAAATTAGACACCGGCAAGTAACAATCAAATAGGAAACATTTCTACATTATATGAAGTGAAAAAGTAGATTTACAAGTACTGTACACTACAGCCTTTACTCCAGAAATAACAGTCACTTGCATAGTATTTATGCATAGGCTGGAAACTGAAAACGTATGTAATAAAATAATAAAAGCTATTGACAGATATGGTTTGTGGGTGGGCTTTATTTTATTTTGTATGTTGGTCTGTATTTCCTTTTTTTTATTTTATTATGTAAAAGAAAACCAGTGACATTGTTTTTAAATACTCATTTCCGGGAGTGAATGAGAGGCAGGCGGCCTCTTGGATGAAGCGGCTATGTCTCACTAGGTCCTATGGTGTATTTGCAGCAGTTGGTGACTGCACTGGAAGAAGGGTGAATGGAAAAGCCTCTCAATGGGAAAGACCGTCGTGAGATGAGGAAGAAAAGTACTGATCGATTGTAAGGAAACCAGTGCTGAAGCTCCAACCAATGAGATCTTTGATGGTTACCCTCTGAGCGCCTGCAGGTGCTGATCCCACGGCTTGGAGCATCGTTCACTGATGAAATCACCCTTCGACATTCATTTGCGGTTATTCTGTGTGGCTTGACTTTGTCTCACTCTGTCCTATCCAAGCCTGTGTTGCTGTGCAGAACACAGTACCTCACAATAACTGAATCTGTTTAAATATCTTTTAAAATAGCAAGATTCACCAGGGTAAGTAAATCTTGAAACTAAGCAAGAACTTGCTTTCTTTTTAAGTTCAGCTCCGCCTTATAATAGAAGAACAGGACAAGTTTGTATCATATTAACTAAATTTAATTCAGTTGAAACAGTTTGGGAAATCAGTTAAGAAACAATCTCAATGCGGCTGGGACTGGGGAGTGGTTTGGTCAGTAGATGACAGGCTGCACAAGCGTGAGGACTTGGTTTGGGTCCCCAGCACATGCATTAACAGGCAGGTATCACACCTGTAATCCCAGCTTTAGGGAGACAGACAGTGAGATGAAGCTCACTGATCAACCAGTCTGGCTGAATCTGCAAGGTCCAGGATCAGTGAGAGACCCTGCCTCAAACAGACAAGGTGAAGAGCATCAGAAGACAGCCTCCTCGGCCTCCACATATTCGTGCACACACATATTCACACATGCACACAAACCTGTACACATGAATTAGGGCTGAAGAGTTAGGTTTGGCAGAATTGATAACTGGAGGTTTAAGCACATATATCATTGGTTTTCACAATTAAATAAAGCAGGTTATTCCTGCCCAGGAGCTTGTGGATGTCCTTTGTTTCCGTGTGAGTCTGTGCGGCTTCTGAGAAGCTGGATAAAGAAAAGGTTACCATTTTTCCAACTCTGTTCCCAGAGAAAAGATGACAGTTTGGGAGAAATATTCGTGGACAATACTGGCCACGTGTATCATGTATTGACCTTCTGCCAAGAAGCAAAAGCATCTTGTGTGTTGCAGGTTGTAGGTTACTGATTTTAAAAAAAATAGAACAGATTCATGACTGATATGACAAAAGAAACATTTCAGTAAATTTTTTTAATATCAAATTGTTCTTAGTGCTCGCAAGACTTACTGAAAACACACTGCATTTGTGCCATGTTGTCACAGTAATTGTCCTGTTTTTCCTAGTAACACTCATTTTATTTTTAAAATAATGTAAATAGAATTATGCATTGGTCCGTTCAGCAGGAAATGGGAAGTGGGAGAAAAGATAGACTCCCAAAGCCAGCTCCTAGTGATGGGCTTTCTCCAGCAAGGCTGCAGCTCTCCACACAGCGCCACCAACTGGGCACCACGTGTTCAAATGCCTGAGCCTGTAGGAGACATTTTTCATTCAAATCACCTCACAAAGCAACACATTTAATCTGCTCCTATTGAAGGGAAAACAGTTGCACGGCACTGCTCTGAAGAAGCAGTTTGCAGAGCCTGGACTGTTTAATAGAGAGCCACCAAGGCTGTGATGATCGGAGTCGAGCCAGTCCCTTGTTCTCCAGCTCTCCACCTGTAATTTCCTCAAGGATTTGTTGCGCATGTGCTTTGCTAGTAGGAGAAAAACACTTTGATAATTTCACAATCAAGTGAGTTTCATACCTTTTATTGACTGTACATAGTAATTCCTACCACGAGGATGAAGCTCATTGGTACTGCAGTCTCCCCAACTCCCAGTGATAACCAACTGGAGCGGGATGGGGGGGTCTACAAAAATGTTCCTCTCCGGGGGAAAAAAAAATGCAACTCTCTTAAACACTGAATCTGCGCCCACCAACCTTGACCTAGATATCAACAAAACAGAAAAGTGTTTTCTCTCTGTCAAGGAAGGAGTGGGCAGAGGAACTTCCCTGCTCAGTTACACACTATGAAACACTGTTTATCTTGGTTTTTCTCTGAATGTCTAAAATGCATTTAAGTATAAGTTTCTTCAGCATGAGATTATTCTAGATTCTCTTTTGAAGAGAGGAAAATAGAGTTAAAAGCCTTTCGCTCTTGGTGATGGCTTTCTAAGCATTAATAACTGGGTCAAGAAAGAAAGCAGCAGACACGCACCAGGATCTGCTGGGATGAGTTAAATTGTAAATAATAATTCTGGTCTCGAATTTCTCTGCCAAAGGACAGTGAAGAACTAACACAGGTGCTAGTTAGCGTCTCCATAACCACTTCCCTAGTATGAGTTCCTGTCATTGATGGCATAGGCATGAGGGGGTATTGAGTATCTCATGTGTACAAGCATCCCACCATATTCTCCCCATTGTTTATTGACTGGCCTTTTCCTGGGGCTTCCAGTCCACCCTGTGACTCTTCTTGTTGTTACACGGGGACACTGAGCTTACACAGATTATACCATGAAATTTTAGTGAAAAAAAATATAGTACCTGTTGAAAAATTTTGCCATGGAAGGGTATAAAAGAGGCATTTCATCATGCTTTCTGCCAAGAAAAATGTGTAGAAGGAAAAACATGATAAGATACCCTTACTATAAAATGATGGAACTTCTTTTTCAAATTTTATTTGTGTGTGTGTGTGTGTGTGTTTCCTTCCATTGTGTAGGTTCCAGGGATCAATCTCAGGTCATCAAGCTTGCTGGACAAACCCTCTTATCATCTGATTCCTCCCAGGGAAGCTTCTTATCTTTCCCCACCCACTGGGTGTTTCCCCAAAGCAGCTGCAAATTTGAGGTAAGTTAGATGGCAGAGGCTCCAGCGAGGGTGGATCACAGAGACAGAATGTGGATCTAGCAATTGCACAAAGGAAAAGGCTTTTCAAATGATCAGGTTGGTTCTTCAGGGCCTTGAATCATGTCATTGCAGAACAGTCAGAGACCTTAGGAGAAGATGTGGGTTTAGCATAATGCATTTACAGCAAGCAATGGGATAGCCATGTGAGCTGTTACAGTCAGACAATAGCTGCCTTGCACCTGCTTGGGAGTGCAGCTTCCCAGCATTTAGTTATTGCTCTGATGCCCGACTCATAGCAACGTGGTGTAGAGTGAGGGAAATGATGGATGTCTCCATTCTTCTCCTACCATTTCTTCATGGTCACTCACATTGCCACTGACAGTATCTGATAGTTCCAGGTTCTTTGCATAATCCCAAAATTTAGCAGGTTCTTAGTACTGAATTTTGAGAGTACTTTTTCAGGTGTGTGTGTGTGTGTGTGTGTGTGTGTGTCTATATCTATGTCTGTGCATGTGTGTGTGTGTGTTATTCATGAGAGGCAAATGTTCTACCTACCTCTTCTTTTTATATAACTCTTCTGGAAAAAAGGGTTTATATAATTCTTCTGGAAGATACTTCAAAAATGGGTTCTAAAAGTCACATGGAAATGCGATGTACCCATCCAGGACAGCCCCAAACCAAAATTAATTAGAAGATCATGTTACCCAACACTTTCCAAGCTTATCATAAAGCTACCCTGATCGAGACATTGTGGTTGTGATATAAAAGCAAATGTAGGCCAATGGAACAGAGTTTCAAGGCTAGGTGGAGAACACCATGTGCCTTCAGCTGACTTGGAGTTGTCAAGGCAATGCCAGGACAAAGAACGGTCCTTTAGCTAGAACAATTAAATCCAAATGCATAAAGTGTTGACCTCAGTTGTTACCTTGTGCCACATATGAAATAGAAAGATAACAAACCTACACATAATGCAGAAAACAATGACCAACCACCTCTTAGATGACCCACTTGTGGGATGCCGGACAGAGTTCTCAGGACTTAACAATTTTTGTAGAGAAAACGCAGCATATATTTACTAGAGCGTATGTATCATAAGCATAAAATACGACACTCCTGCAGATATTCAATAATATAAAAGTATTGAGATGAGCAGCCTGAGTTGAGAACAGCCTTCCCTTTTGTCTCTCCCTTCCCACTTTTCTCTGGCTTTAATATGATAAATGTTTTTGAAAAATTCACCTACTTCTAATGCCTTAAAAAAAAAGTCCTGCAAATAAAGCATTTTTGATGACCGCATCTGCCCATTCACACTCAATATGTACAGTCCTTTTCTTTCCTGCCTTTTCTAAGGCCAACTACACCAAGAAGTTGTCAGTGTTTCCTAGGTGCTTAGCAGCAACCCTGGCTCAGATGAGCGTGCAGGTGCCTGATAAGGACAGCCTGGAACTTGAACTGTAATTCCCCAGCTCGCTCTTCTGGAGCAAGGGGACATTCCAGCCAGAGAGTCCATAATGATTGCCAGCGCCCTGGAAGAACACACATGTCTCCCGTGACCGTTCCTAACAGCTAGGGGAAAGTGGGGCATGGGAACACAGGTGCTTCTGTGTGGTCCTGTGCAGGCCTTAGAAGGATAGAGTCCTCAGAGGGCTTACAGGCTAAATAGTGTAATATGCTTGGGTGCTCTTGTAAACACAGGGGCCCTGGAAATCTAAGTGTTCAGCAAGAGTCTGGTAAACACTCAGAACAGCCCTCAAGCCCGTCCTGCGGATCTCCATCTGGAGGTGGGTGTGTATATGTCCGTCATCACCACGGCTTCCTGATATCCAAGCCATTGCGTCCTCCTGGATTTCCACTGAGGTAAATTCTGAATCTCTGGCACTTCCACAGCAATGGGTTTGGGCTAGCCTATCTCATTTTTACAAGTGTGAATATAGCACTTTTCTGTAAGAGGAAGAGTCATGGGTCAGCTCTGTTTCTTCCTTGAACTTACACGGTTAATTCAAATTCTGGGAAGTGGAGGACACTGAAAATTTTATGTCAGTTTTGCTGTCATCTAATTGTCTATACCTAAGAATTAAAAAATACATTGCATGAGCTCCAGTGTTCTCTGGTTTCATAGGCCTAGAAGAGCAAGATCATATTCCTTAATCCCATTGTTTACTATTTTATGTAGCGCTTTAATTTTTTATTGTCTTCATGCCTTCTGACCTTCAAAACGAAGCATACAACAGCTGCCTCCGCCTTCTGCATGAACAGGGTTTGCGGATCACACTTTTCCTGGGTGATCTTGACCACCGAGTGACGATCAGTACTTCCAGCTCTGCCCCATCGTGGTAAACCCAGCACTTCTACCTCTAAGCCCTGCCATACAAGCAGCCCTGAAACTGACTGTTGGCACAGGCAAGGTGTTGATCTCTGAGGCTAGAGCAAATTCCAGAAAATTTGCCACATATTTATAACTTTAGCCTTACTGTTGATAAGGTTAGCCTAAATAAACATTTGATACATTGTGTGTGCTCTGGACATAGTAAGATTTTTTCCAAAACCATAATAGAACACCTGTGTGTATGTATATATCTATTTCTAGTATCGAATGTGGTGATAAATATATTAGCTTTTGCCCACCTGGACTCTCCCTGAGTTCCCATTTAAAATCACAGTATTTCCCTCTGTGTGTTTTTATATTAAGAATGTATATGACTTTGGGAGAGAATGCTACTTAGCATTTTGTAACTGATTTTCTCAGTAACTGTGCATGAAGACTGTGCACAAAAGCAAGCAAGAATGTCATTTGTTTCCAATAGTTAGGGACAGTGGCCTCTAAGGATTTGGGGGAGAGGAAGATTGTTGTATCCACTTTTGTAACTGATATTTACTAGTGCACTCAATTTTGTCAGGAAAAAGCAAGGTACTCTGGGAAAATAGTGGCCCAAAAGCAGGGCACTCTGGGAAAACAGTGGCCAAATAGTCAAAATGTGCACGCAGGACAAAACAAAATACCTGCCTAATATGGGTACGGGAATTCTGAGAAGCAGACTTGAGGAGAAGAAAGCCCGTCCAGGGGTGGCCAGAAGAAATGAAGACCACATCTCTTTCAATTATAAGTGAAAATGAAGGCACCAGTCCATGTCGTGTATGGGAAGGAAGAAAATCCTCGGGTTAATTCATCTCCAGGCGTGTCTAAAGGTGGGAGGGCTTAAACAGGGAAAACTAGAAATCCATCTCCTGTGAGCTGTGGCTTTTATGCTTATTTGCTATCTGAAGAGCTTGATTTTTTTTTCTTGAAGGGAACAACACACAAGCAACACTTACTTTTGAACCCTTGAAGGACTGCTTTTTTGTTAAAAAGCTAACACACACACACACACACACACACACACACACTTCTTAAAGGAACAGGCCTTGTAGCAGCAGGGTGGGACCCAAGCAGGAGCTCAGTGACTGGAAATGGATTTTGTAGCCATTCAGGGAAGCTCCTGAACTATTCTTATCCCCTTATACAAAGCAAGGTGCGCAGAAATAAGTGAAGCCATGCATTAATGGCTTAAATTAAGTTACAGGTATAAATTTTACATAAATCAGATTAATATTATATGTCATGGTGGTGGAAGTTAAAACACTTCGTGTCCATGCATTTTAAAATTTTTGCCTGCTCCAATTTAACGCCCACAAAGCAATTGTACTGCTTAAGCCCACTTCTGCATCTAGATAGGTCCAAGAAAAACCCACCACGATCTAAAATCTTGGGTTTTTTTTATTATTATTTTGTTTTGCTTTTTTGTTTTTCATCAGAATCCCTGCATTTGATCTGGCTTCCGGCATTCTTTTCCTATATTTTTTTTTCTTTTGCTAAGCTTTAGCGTGCATATATATGCATACATACATATGGAAAGGCTACTCATTCCATTCAATCATATGAGCTCCGCAATTGTGCAAACATGAATGATAACACCATGGGGGGTAACAGACAAATGAACCAACGTGCTTCTTGAAAGCTAGTCCTGAAGGCAATGGAATCTTAGTGACGGGTAGCCTAGGGGCTCAGCTCCCCAATTAGAAGAATAACAGGGAACCTGCGAGCAAGACACAGAGTGTCGTGCCCTCACCCCCAACCCCATCCCCCCATATCCCCCCCCCCCCACGCCCCGGCAGCCTAGGCCCGTGGAGAATGCATTCCAACCCGCGCATTCCCCTAGTTCTTCGCAGGAACTTCTCTCTGTCTCTTCTCCCTCGGGCACTCTCCATCCTGGCCCGACTCCCACCCAGTTCTCATTTTCTCAGGTCCCCTCCCACAGCATTGACGGAATGAAGTGCCCTTCCCATTGGCCCGAGCCTCATTTT